AAACTATGTGAAATTGTGGTATATTATCATAGATTAATAATTTCAAAAAATATTTTCAATTTTGCAACCAAAATCTATCTAGTAACCCTTTACAACATGTCTATAAATATCAACATCTTCATCGAATATTAAAAAAATAAAGAAAATCTTACAAATTTAACACTATTCCGAGGTACTCACATATTAATATGATGATTATAACATTATTATAATAATCGATCCATCGATTAAGCGAAGAAAAATAATTACCTAGAGGACATAAAATTAACGCTTCGGGTAGACGATACTATATAGATGTATAAATTATTAATTTTTTTTTTCTAAGTACTTTTACTTGTATGATAATATTATACATCATATTTATTCATTAATCCAACAATTCCGCCGACCAGAACACATATTATTATGTATTAATGTAATAACAGTAATTAACAATTACGGCGCATAATATATACTTCTGCGGCGCAATAATATCATTAAAATTATAATAATAATCATAATAAAATATAAGAATAGATTTTGTAATAAGTTCATTAGTATATAGGTATAGATACTATTGTTTAAAAATATATATAGGTAGGTAGTACCAATATTATAATATAAATGCATCCTAAGCATAATAAATAATAAATACAATATCGGAACGACGCACGATCGACCGCCCTCGCCGGTATCGTGCTGCGACCAGAATTCATGTTATTCAGCGGTATACGATAATCGTATAAATTGTTAATTGACACAGAGCAGAGGTTAAAATAATAATATGTTGAATTAATAATCTGCACCTTTAGGTACATTTCAATTATTATTTGTTTTTACGACTAATATTAATTATATATAGATAATAATAATATATTGTTCGTATATATTATTATCTTAATATACTATACTCAATACCCACAGTATTATATTTCCGATATACCTGTAATCCATAATACAATGTACATATTGTACTTTGTACCTATTATATAAATTGTTGAAACTATATAATATTATGTACGAAAATTATCGTGTACAGTTCATTTAATTTAGCGTTTTATCTCTCGTGTGGAAATCCGTACAAAATATATTCCGAATATTGATTTTACTTCGACATGGTTCTATAAACTGATTTCGAATTATTTTATCGAAGTTCGAAGGTGGTGTTCGTGTAGTAGTTGTCGGGGGTCAGTGATTGTTATATTTTAATTGGGTGTGCTTATTAGCATGCGAATGTCGGAAGCGACACAATGTACATAGAAAATAAACTAAAAATATTTCGTCGTCTTCAACAGCTTCGTATAGACTATAGAGTATGCCTATAATACCTACCCGATATTGTTGGAAGTTATTTGAAATTTAAAAAAATAGTAATTTGTCATCGTCGTCCGAGAGAGTACTATGTCCATTGACTATTGAGCATCGACGTATTATAAAGTATAAGTGCATATTATTACGATATTGTTCCATTTTATCTCCAGTTTTGTTTTATACCCGTCAAACATAAACGAGCCCTTTAAAATCACTTGTGCAAACAAATAAAATTCGTATTATAGAGAATTTCGATAAATTTAATTCAATAAATTTAGTCCCATAGTTAGGTTTGGTTCTTAAAAATATTTCTTCAAACATGAAAATATGTCGTTAAATGGAAGTCGGTTTTATGGAAATTTCACTGTGATATAGGCTTTTCAAAAAAATGTTCTCGTCGACGATGCACAACAATATTATAATATATTATTATGTATATAATATTATGTTCTGTGTTGCGGAGGTCTAATCGTTTCATATATTATATTATAATATCTTACGCCGAATGTCGCTCAAAAAATAAAAACTTACTTTTTTTTTTCTTACAGATAGGTACGTGCCCGTCAACACTCTGTGCGCAATTAGGTATTACATAATAATATTTTTCGTTTATTGTTCGCGAGACGTAAACGCTGCGGCGCTCAGCTTCAGCTCAAGTATTTCGATTACAATTTGCACGGAGTTGTCGCAAGAATCACGCGTAAAAGATTGTATTTGGATAGACATTCCTGAATATTTGATTTCACTCGAAATTATTTAAAAAAATTAATAAAAACGTGTCAGCACCGACGCCTATACTGTGACCCCCCTCCCCACCCTCCCGCACTGGTGAGTCTTGCACACACGACCAAGCGAATACAATATCTATATTTGTACGCGTTATGCGCATATGCATTTAATACTTAACATTAATGCGTATTTCACAAAATGGGTTTTTATTGTGTTTACTAAAACGGCGATAAATCGTTAATCTGCACCGACACCATAGACTCTGAACTTCTAATATAACTATAGACTTCTATAAAGGTACCCATACACGGTCAGTTATGAATGTCAGTTTTTATGATTGTCACTCTTATGAATGACATACATGGCCAATCATGGTTAGAAATACATGGTCAATCATGAATGACAATCGTTTGATAATTCTTCACTTTTAGGTTAAAGATAAAACAAAGGCCACCATCTAAATCTATCGTAGCCTATGCCCTTATAGTAATTGTACATCCAAATTTAAATTTTCCTGAATAATGGAAGAAGCTTGCATTGCAATTATTGTTGCTTTGGCTACAGATAATGCAGACGAAGGAAGGAAACGAAAGAAAAAACAAAGAATATGGTCAAAAGAATGGTTTTTAAAAAGAAACAAATACACACATCATAACCTACTAGATGAACTTTTATTGACATCAAATGAAGATTATGCAAATTTTCTTCGAATGGACCATTCAACATTTATGGAATTATTAGAAAAAGTTGAACCTTATATAAAAAAAAAAGATACAAATATGAGAAGTGCTATCCCTGCAAATCAAAGACTGTCAACTACTTTAAGGTATTTAGCTACTGGTCAAAGCTTTGAAGATTTAAAATTTACCACAGCAATAGCTCCTCAAACATTGAGTAAAATTATTATTGAAACCACGTGGTACGTGGTACAACTGTGATAAGGTTTTTGTTATTGTTTTGAATGATAACGAGTATAAATCATTACCACACATGGTCAGTCATGATTGGCAATCACTCTGATTGACAACAAAAAATCAAACTTGTTTGAAATTCATCAGTCACAAAAAAAGATTGACATTCAACAATATACACGGTCAATCACGAGTGACAATCACAAAAACTGACATTCATAACTGACCGTGTATGGGGCCCTTTAGACAAGAGATCGAATGATTCGAATGCAAAAGACTAAAAGAGCAAACGCCAGTTCTTATGAATGTAAAACCAAGCATAACCTGTGACCTTATCGAATCCTAATTAAATATTTAATTGTAGTTTCACACTTTCAAATAATATTATTACAGTTAGCCCGTATGAAATAAAAGTGATGGATTTTCGTTCGCTCAGATTTTTTTTCTCGTTTTCTTCCGCTCTATCGCAGACGAAATACCCTCTACAGCAGTGACACTATAATAGTCTTGGTCAAGGTCACGACCTAGAACAGTTTCATGTACCTACCAGGCGCGGATCCAGCCTACATTAACGGAATGGGCGGATTATAAGTATCCAAATATATATACTATTTACCTACTGGTAAATACGAGTATATATTTATATATATAATATATGTATATTATAAATATGCAATAATCGACAATATAGATAATACATTTCTGACGGTCGAATATGGAAAATATTTTTAGATATTTTTAGGACAAACCCCTATGAGCCGCTCAGCCGCCAAGCGCGTCGCTGGCAGTCGACGGTCGTCGTCCCTCAATCGGTCATAATATTGTTATCAACAATTTATAAATGTTTGTTATTAAAATAAAATACGACGATTTGTGACTGAATAATATTAGAATATATTTACATAGGATAACATAAAATATTAAATTTAAATAATACAGCCAACGGGGGGGGGGGGCAGTTTGTACTCTATAGATATACTATCGAAAAAATAATCGATTTTAATTTTGGTGCAAATTACAAATTACAATTCCTATTTCTTACTACCTTAGGATGGTGCAAATTACATATCCTTATTTTGGTGCAAATTACAAACGAATTTTTTAAAAAATGGTGCAAATTACACATGTTGTTTATATTTTAGGTCAATTTTGGTGCAAATTGACTACAGCCGGATCCGCGCCTGGTATCTACTCATATCATATTAAAATAGTATTAGATATACCCAGGTATACCTACTCACTATGTGAATGTATTAACTCATAACTAAATGATTTAGGTATACAATATTTCTATATATAAATAATGTGAGTGTTAAAATGTTTACGATAAGCTGTAAAGTGATAATGTATTGAATAGGAGTCAGGAGGTGGTTGTTTGGAATGCGCGAAGAAACCATAAATAAATGGAACTTATTAGGGCCCTTTAGACGAACGCTTTTTTTGGCGCGCCAATACTACGCGCCAAGCATGCAGTCAGTCGCGGCGGATAGGCACGTAGCGCGCGAAGAGTGTGGTAGCAAATAAACGAACACTCCAGGCGCTCGATCTTTACCTGGTTGTCTGGGAATGTAGGAAAGCGTGGCTGTGTAAAGGCTAAAACTGTGTCTTTCACGCACGCATAGAGTGGCGTGTGGCGTGTTGAAAATATCGACACTTTTGCAGTGAATTATCATAGGATTGGGTTTGTTATCACAAAAATAATAAATATAATTATTTTAAATTATTTGTTTCATTTATGTAGTGGTGCTTAGCTTAATTGTATTTTTTAATAATAGTATAAATGTTAATTTTTGATCGCACAAAAAGGAGTACCTAGTACCTATATTATACAAGTCTGAAAAGCGTCTAAAGCTTGATTTAACCACTCAACTGAAGTAAGTATAAGTATATGTACTGAAGCCCCTCCAATAGTTTTTTTTAAATATTTGTAGCGTCTCCAAATTTAAGACTAACAAACTAACTTCTCTTTCAGTAGTAAAATAATGATTTTTAATAATATTTTAAATAACTAACAAAGAAGTGTCTAATTAAACCAATCAATTTATTAATACTATAGGTATTCATAATAGAATGTACAAACAACATAATAAGAAAAAGCAATTGGCAATTGCATGTGCTGCTATAAGTATAATCACAACAAAGCAAAGAAAAAAGAGATCACAATGGGTGAAAAATTGGAAACTGGACAAATCTAAATTTGGAAATATACCTTTACTTAGTGAAATAAGGGAAAACAACCCAGATGATTTTAGAAATTATCTTAGGATGGATTCTGCATCATTTGACGTTTTATTGAATTTGGTAGGACCAAAAATTTGTAAAATGGATACTGTTATGAGGTCAAGCATCAGTAGCAGCGAAAGATTAATTGCCACATTAAGGTTCTTAGCAACAGGAAATTCATATGAAGATATGAAATTCAGCACTTGTATTTCTACATCGAGTTTGTCATATATTATACCAGAGACATGTAAGGCTTTATATGATATATTGGCTCCTCAATACCTAAAGGTAAATTATTTGAATCTATCTTATGTAAGTGACAAAATTTAGTTTACTTGTATTTTTTAAGAGTACTTTAATAGTCAATTTAATAACTAACTTAGTTAGTTAATAAGTTATAACTATTTATATAAAAAATATAAAAAACATAAATGACAGAAATAACAATACTATTTTTATTAAAATCATAAAAAATAACAATTTATATTAAACTCTTTTAAGACTTCAACCTTTGAAGTACATTTTTCAACTGAAAATCATAATAAATATTAGATAACTTTTAATTACAAAAAAAAAAAAAACAAAAACGTAGGAAAGACTTGAAACTAAAAATAAAATAAAATTTAACAATGAAATGTAATCTTTAACTTAATACATAATTTTAGTTCAAATTATTTAAAGACTCAGAAAATACATTAATAAAATTTGACGGTTGTTGTGAAACACTGCCAGACTGATGATACAACATATTATTGGGGTCCAAATGATAGTCACTCGAAATTGAACTTTGAGATGATTCTACAGGGCTAAGTGTATTTATACTGATAGGTTGCTGCATTGGAATGGTTCCATGATATGCTGTATTTTCAAAAAGATCCGTTTGGGCAGTTAATGAATTTAACAACCCACGTCCCAAAATTCTGCTAATTAGCATATCAGCATAAATACTCTGTTTTTGATCCATCTTCTTAAGTTTTTGAGCAACGTTTATTCCAACAGCATCAAACTCAGTTATTTCTACATCTTTATTTAATGCAGTAGTACAAGCATTCATAAACTCTGCACTCCGTTCTGCAGAATTTCGTTTTCTTTTTGAGGGTGTTGGTGAAGGTTTACATGGAACAGTAAACGTTGAAACTTGTTCCTAAGTATAAACAAACCATAATAAACTTAAAAATTGGATAGTTTTGAAAAAAAACTTGTAATTTTTGTTTTTGTTTATTTTAAAACCTATCTATAAAAAACAATAAATTGAGAACTGTTTAAAAGATAGTCATAAATTCATAACATATGTGTTTTAAATATACTGATTTAAAATTTATTTTGTTTTTCAAGTTAAAATAATAATACAATATTTAAATATAACATAAATTAAGTACCTACACAAATTTTAAAATATTTCATTAAATTATCCATTTTTAGTTTCCATCTACAGCACAAGAATGGATTGATGTAGCAAATGGATTTAAAAATAGATGGCAATTCATTAATGCTGGAGGAGCTATAGATGGGAAACATATTCGGATAGTACAACCAGCCAATTCTGGTGCACAATACTATAACTATAAAGGCTTTCATAGTATTGTACTTATGGCTATTGTAAATAGCAATCATGAATTTATTTATATAGATGTTGGTAAAAATGGGCGGTTATCAGATGGAGGAATAATTGAATGTACAGAATTTTATAGAAGACTGCAGAATAACCAACTTCATATTCCAGATAACAATGAAACCAATGAAAATTTGAACTTTGTTTTTCTAGCTGATGATGCATTTCCCCTTCAAGAACATATTCTTAAGCCATTTCCACAAAGAAACTTATCAAAAGAAAAACGAATTTTCAACTACAGATTTTCACGAGCAAGAAATTGTGTAGAAAATACATTTGGTTTAATTACCACCAGATTTCGTGTACTGCATCATGCAATTAATTTGAACCCTGAAAAAGCTAAGCACATAGTCCTTGCCATATGTGTACTCCACAACTTTTTGAGACAACGTAGTGCTTCATATTTACCACCAAATACAACACTAGACAAAGATAATCATAAAAATATAATTGATAGACAAGTGAGGGATGCAATTTTTGATCTTCCTCAACTTCAGCATCAACGAATCACGAGTATATCCACAGCTGCCAAAGAAAATAGGGACAGATATAAGGAATATTTCAATACTACTGGGGCTGTTGAATGGCAAGAACAAATGATAAGTGCAGGGAGAGCTTAAAAACAAAAATATAGCTATTTTCAAAGAATTTTTTTTTTTGCATTTAAAAATGTAGTTAGTAATTTTTGTTACTGTTAATACTAATAATTTTAAATGTTTAACTTATTTGTATTTCTAATATATAATAATCATATGACCTTAGACATAATTATCATGTAAAATCTTTTTTATCTTCACCTCCAGATTAGCTGCTATTATTTTCATCTTAAACATCTCTTAGTTTACTTTTGTAGATACACATTTATCACTTTTATAGTTATATGTAGTTAACATATAAATTAGAATAATATTAAAGTTTACATAACTTTAATACATAAATTTAAAATATACCTTATTGTTTTTGTTATTTACTAAAACAGAATTTTTACATAGGTAATTATGAATTGTTAAATAATATTAAATATAATTTAAATGTAGGCAATAAAAAGTTTATATTTATGGTATGACATTTAAAAGTATGTACCTAAGTATTGTACATAAATTATATTTTAACACTGACAATTGTCAAAAAATATGATATTTTTTTATTTACCTTGTCCAATATTTCAATATTATCAGATTCTAATACTTGTTGTGAGGCCTCATCATCGTCATTTTCAACAGAATTTACAGTATTCATCAAATTACAGATGCTTTCTGTTGGTAGCTCCTGATCAATAGTAAAAACTAAATGATCATAATACCTGAACAATTTCACAGTAGGTAGGTCGTTTCAAAAATATATTTTTATTAGTAAAGATATTATAATATGTAATTACCAGAGTGTAGGAACATATACATCGTCGAGTGAGGCTCCAGATCTCTTTGAGTCGACAACTTTTTTTAGTTCTTTCCTAAAAGAACCCCTAAAACTTTGGATTTTTTTTATGACAAAATCTTTATTAGCTTCAGGGATTGTTGTTTTGCAAAATTTGGTAAGTTCATCATAAGCTTCTCTTTTCAAGTTTTTGTTTATGTAGTCCTTACTTTTTATTTTCCAAAGACAAGGATACTGTTTATACAGCTCTATAAATTGTAGTGTAAATTCCTTCGACCAATACCTGGTATCACTCATTTTAATTAGACACGAGTTTATAATTAACAAGTATTACTTATGTCTTATTAGTTGTTAGGTAGTCGTTTTAGAAGAAAATTTTAGTACTTAATAAAAAAGTTCGTTATTTGAACAGTCGGCACTCGTCAGTTTCAAACAAAAAGTCTGATAACAAATGAGTGATAGTGTGATATCTGGACAATCGGTATCGATGATTTACATATATCGATTATTAATTTATATCGATAACTGCTTCATATCGATAGTTAATTATCTTGCATGCTTGGCGTGTGGAGAAACCATGTACGTGTAAATGAAACAACACTCCAAGATACAAGGATAAACTGCACAGAATACTCACGATCTAAGCCTGTGGGATAAATTACGTTTAAACGAGCACTCTTTCCCGCGAGTTTGGAATGCCACATTCCAATCGCGCCAAAAAAAGCGTTCGTCTAAAGGGCCCTAATGGCATATATTATGTGTGCGTGTGTGTGTGTGTTCAGTAAATTTTAGAAGACCGCTGTCTCATTTTCAATTTAGTCTTCTTCTGGGGTCACCTAGCTGGGACGATAAACGAGCAGATAGTTCGGAGATGAGAGGATTGCGATGGAGGTTTGAGTGAAGTCGTTTGTAGAAGGTCTTGGCTATAACTACATTTTGTACAGTTAGAATTGAGTGGACTTTGTGCTGCAGAGTGTGATTTGAAACGTAAAAGGGTGCTTTAGTAATTTGACTGAGACATTTGGATTGGAAGCCGCGTTTATTTATATATATATATAAATACATAATGGAGGCCTCCCGCAGTCTCGGTGGCCAACTGAGATCGGACTTTCTGGACTTACACACGGTGGACACACGCTGTGGGTTGATGTTATTTCACCTGCAGCAAATACTCTCGGCCTACATCACGCAGTAATGTTTTTTGTAGCGCTTATCGATGACGATTGCCCCGCGCTGCATTACGGTCGTGTGTCACTTTTACTTTATATAAATAAATAATGTAAATTACAATAAAAGCATAATATGATGTCATAGATTTATAACGTTTTGATATCCGAGCCCTGGAGACGTATTCCAAATTTTTTTTTTATATATATTTATTATTTATAGCTACTAACATAATGGCTAATACACTGCGACATCTATAACTGCAGACTACCGCACTATCTACTATATATTATATTATTATTATATACATGTAACGTCGCCTTTTCGGACGAACGCAGCACGTGAATTACTGTCCACCAGGCTCGTTTAATGCCACATCTCGGTCGGATGTTATTATAATACGAATCGGAGTGTCGGGCGAGTAATAATTATTAACAATAATAACAACGTCGCGTACCCGACAATATTATTATAACGTTCCGGCCGGTACACGTGATTTATATACATAAGAGTTACACGGCAATATATACAGGGTGATTCGCCACCAAGTATGTTCTGTGCTCACCCCCTTATTTTCTTTAAATTATACAATTATTCAAAATCTGATTTCTGGAATTTTCAAATATGCTCAAAGACCGTATTTTCGGATTCTCGGGATGTCTTGTACTACAGTAGGTACTAATAATTAAGTAGTGTCCTGTGGCCAAATGTTCAGAAAAATTATCGACTAAATGCTTTACAGTAGAAAAGGGAAGCTCTCATTTGAAGTCAGACGTCTGTATAATATCTACATAAGTAGTACAAGAAAATTAATTAGTTAATATATTAAATAATTTTAATTGAAACTGTATAACTTAAGAAAAATAAGGGGGCGACCACTGAGCATGCTTGGTATTGAATCACCCTGTACACTGGTAGCATCGGGTATGGCGACCGGGTGAATGTAAGTTCTTATGCGAGACCTATCCATTAAAAACAATAACTGTGAGTTCATACACTGCTATTTTTTATTTTTTTTATCATAATATATAATATATATATTATGTATATGTTATCAAACTATTGATAATGTCTTAAGAAAACACTCCCCGCTATTATTATAATATTCCAAAAACCACAGATATACACGATTGGTATAAGATGATAGTGTACGATTGAAGTATATATAGGAAGAATCTAAAAGAATGAGTTGGTAATTTTTTTTCTGCGTATACAGGAACTTACACTTGAGACTTTTTCCGCCTTGTAGGACGTACCTTTTTTTACACTGTAAGAACTTATACACATCTCATTTTTATATGCGTGTAGGAATTTTCACATCTCGTGTGTAGGAATTAATTATGTGTGCATTTTTTTACCAGCTACTCTCCCGTAAGAACTATATTACGATTGCCCGGTCGACTATAGGTCGTGGAGTTGCACGCCGTATATACCCAGCACTGCAAGTGGTATATATATAAATATAATATAATATGACATTATAACAATGTATATTATTATAACAATAAACCTATATTTCGTAGAGTGCACGAGTGCTGTTCGTCACCATCGTCAGTCCGGTTATTTGGGCTAAGTAGGAACCCACTTCGAAACCGGTACGATATATTATTATTTTCGTGCGGTCCGAACACAATGCGCGGACATTGCTAAATAAAAATTAATATTATAAGAAATATTGCGGTTTTGCGTGTGTGTTTATGATATTATACATTTTTTTTGTTCATATCGTTTCGGCAACGCACCCGTTTTTATTATTGGGTTTACTATATTAATATTATTTAGATAATAGGTATATTATATTTGCTGCTGCAAGTGTACCTACCTACAACACACATAATGTCATATGGGTACGCACCGCTGCACGCACTCTCGTTTTTTCCGCTTTCGTTTTCCTCGATGTATTGCATTACGTGTTTTTTTCCACGGCGTTACACATGTAGGTCGTCGACGAATTACACGCTGTTTTGTACCTATATTTTCATATTATGCCCTAGCATTTGAAACTTTATAATCTATATAATATGATATATTTTTTTTTACTTTTGTCGTAGTACACAATATATGCCTAATTCATGTGGCTTTTAAGCTAAGGCCGAGCCGCCGACTGCAATCTACTGCATGGTCTGCAAGTACCCACCTAAGTTAAACCACCAACCCTAATTTTTTCCATAAAAAATCAAAACAATTCCCGACGGCATTCCGACACTCCGAGCAGTCCAAGCTGCACACAACTACGACGTCGGATTATAAATTATAATTCATACGCTTGACCGCGCACGGTTCAACTATTGCTACCTATATATAGCTGTTGTCCTCACGAGCGGACGCCGAAAGTTCATTCAATGCATCTGACTTATAGATAAATCGCAAAAATTAAAAAATTTATATTTAGATCAGACAACTCCATCAAAACAATAAATATATACAGTCGAGTGGCGATAACTCGAAGTTGAAGATATATAAAAAAAACATCACTTCGAGATACCCAACTCCGATTTAACCTAACCTGATCATTCAAGGGTAATAAAAAAAAAAAAAAAACCAAATGTCAATTTTTTTTTTATTATCGCGACTCGGCTGTTGTATACTAGACAATATTATCCTGGTCTGTGACTGCAGTATCCTACACGTACCGCTGGTTCTTGTATAAGACAATAAATAAAATAACAAACCGAGTTGCGGGTCAGGTTTTTAACGAATGGACGGCATTCGGTTCTTCGTTATAAATATTTAAATATTTAGTAAAAATATGGTCTTTACAGTCGTATACAGTCCACACGCCGCGCCGATTCGTTACAACAAGCTAACATTTTACGTATGACATAATATTGTCATAATGATTAATCTTAAGTCACAACACCACGGTGTACCTATCTCGTATTAAATTTTATTTTTCGACAAATCTGCATCTTGAAGTGTACAACGTTGACCAAACATTTAAGACGCTTGCAAGTGATATAAAACCTCTACCTCACTGTTTACACGTCATTATAAAATACTGAACACATAAATGCCATACCACTTTTGGTGAAATGTAAATATACCTACTAAGTTTTCATAATTTGAATATGTTTAAAAACGATATGTTCATAGGTTGTTATTTTAGTGTGAATATTATATTCTTACCTAATCAATTATCAAAATCCTTACTCTAAGTGACTAAGTGATATTATAGTATATTATTTTGTTCATAAACAAAAAACTTTGTAAAATTATATACTACAACATGCAGTTACCTTTAAAAGTTTTAATTAAAATTGTATTCTTTAATTCAATGATAGTTATTTTGTAAATATAATTCGGCATTATTCCCAATTACAAGCAATTATACATAGCTCGTAGGGGATGTTTAACCTGCATATTATGATCGGTTACAGTCCATACACATTATTAGTATTTATTATCATTAAAACAAAAAACCTCATAATATTATGTTCTAAACCAGCAGGCTCAGCAGCTGCGGGAAGTCGAGAGCGATTCAGAAAATTGCATAACTCCCGTAACGCAACTTATATGATATAGGATCATGGTACACCGTATTATATTAGTATACAATATATTATGTGCATTATATTATAATAAATATATTTCTAGTATGGTTTATAAGTATATTATATTGTCTTGCACTGTGTCGTTCTCGCGAGGTGCACTCGAGATGCACCGGCGCCGTTCGTTGCAGCTGCTGCAGATAAAAAACAAACTGCGCCGCACCGCTGCACCCTGCTGCAACCTGAGACATTGATGCATCTCGTCCAAGTCGGCCTTTATTATTATAATAATATAATATATGACGTGCACGGTGTATATACTTTTTAAATATTATTATTTTCGTTTGAGCGGTGTGTGACATAAATAATCGGCGGCCAGCCGACGCGATTTAGCGGGTAGGTATTCACTATTCAGTTCGGTTTTTTCTTGTGGCCTGCACCATATCCATATAATAATATATAGACTTACGAGTCCCCTATATGTCCCGCTCCTCATTTGCATAACGTTATATTATTATATATCTGTGCATGATATATTATTGTACAGTTCGGGACACAATACCATTGTGCGGTTCGTTTTACCGTCACCGTCGCACGATCTCCCTAAAAAAAAACAGCATCCTCGACGGTCTATACATTGTT